TTTTTGAGACAGGGTTACTCTGTATAACAGCCTTGGCTGTCCTGGAACTCTCTTTGTAACCAGGCTGGCCTTGAGCTCAGAGATCCACCTGCCTCTGCCTTCAGAGTGCTGAATTAAAGGCGTGCGCCACCATGCCTGGCCCTATTAATGTATTTTTGAGAGGGGTATCACTGTGTAGTTCCAGCTCACCTCAAACTCACAGACATCACAAGTGCTAGGATTAAAGGTGTGCCACCATGACCACACATGGCATTTTATTTTATAATTACTTTTCAAATCCATTATAGAAAAAAAGTACTTGTGGATTAAAGTGAGGACTTAAAACACCATTTTCCTTCCTTCATGGGCTGAGGTTGAATTTATTTTATAGAATGATTACTGAGCACTTACAAAGCTCTGGGTTTGATACTTAGCATCACATAAAAGAGGTGTGGTGACAGATGCCTGTAATTCTGGGGTGGTGGAGATACTGGCAGATCAGAAATATCCCCAGCAGTACAGCTAGTTTGAAGCCAGCCTGGACTAGCGACCCTGTCTCAAAAAAAACAAAATAAGTAGTCACTCAGCAATACAGTGTGTATTGTTTTTGAAGAGGACCTAAGTTCTGTTCCCAGCACTAATGTGTGTAACTCAAGCTCCAGGGGATTTGATGCCTTCTTCTGACCTCCGTGGGGAACTGCAATCACACGCACACAATCACACACACATACAATTAAAAATAAAACCACTTGGGGGTTTGGGAGAGGACTCAGTACTTAAGAGCACTCACTGTTCTTTCAGAGGACCTAGTGTTTGATTCCCAGCACCAACATGGTGGCTCACAACTATCTGGAATTCCAGTTCCAGGAATCCAATGACCTCTTTTGACCTCCAAGGGCACCAGGCATGAACATGGTACACATCCATACACATAGGCAACACTCATATACACAAAGTAAAAATAAATGTATCTAAAAAATAAAAACCTTAAACATTGAAAAGTGCCATTTACTTACTAAATTTTTAAACAGGGTCTCTCTAAATGCCAGGCTGGCCTCAAAATTGACTCTTCTTCCTTGCACTATATATATGGCAGAATAGTATTTTATTATGGCAGACAAGGAAGACATTTTAAAAGATTTTCCTTTTTTTTTTTTTTGAGATAGGGTTTCTCTGTGTAGTCCTGGCTGTCCTGAACTCAGAGATGCCCCTACCTCTACCTCTCAAGTGCTGGGATTAGAGGCATGAATTACTACTGCTGGGCTCTTAAAACAGATTTTCATGTAGCCAATGCTGGCCCCAAATTTGTTCCATAGCCAAGGCTGACTTTGAACTTTTCTTCCTTCTTTCTTTCTTTCTTTCTTTCTTTCTTTCTTTCTTTCTTTCTTTCTTTCTTTCTTTCTTTCTTTCTTTCTTTCTTTCTTTCTTTC